TTAATAAATAAATTTGTTAGGAATATCATTTATAAAATTTACTAAATCAAAATTCATTTTTCAGTCATTAAATTTTAAATTAGTTATAAGTGAAATTCATCAACTCTCATAATTAGTATTGCATAATTATTTAAATATAGAAAAAAAAAACAATTCTAATTGGTGCTAAATTGGGTTATAAAGAAATCGCATTCAAATATTTAACAAAAAATAACAAAATTTTTTGCATGATGTAGTTGATGAAATTAATTAGATTATTTCATTTTAATTATTTCATCAAATGATAAACACGTAGCATTTATGTTTGTTTTTTATTGTAACTAACTGTTACTGAAATTTTTAATTTGAATTTATATTATTATTGAGAATTTTAATTTTAATATTATCTCTTTCTTTTAATGCTTTATCGCTTGTCAGTAATAACTAATAATTCACTATCTCAAATTAATTAAATATTAACTGTGTATGTATTATTAATATCATTTCTAATGAAATTAAATGAAATTTACAATCAAATATTTATTATTGCTTATAAAGCAATATGAAATAAATCTTTCAACAATTTTTTTTTTTTTTTAATTTCATTGTTAAAAGGAATTTTTAATTTAATATTAACCATTAATAAGTTTTATAAATTTACAATTTAAAATTTTTAGTATTACAAATATATTTTAGCAAACTAATGTGTTTAGTTTACGAAAACTTTTCTTAATGTTTTAAATTTTGTTTAAAATTCTTTGTTGCACTTTACTCATTCTCTCTCATACTATTCATCATTTACTAATATGAAAATTTGAAATTTGTTTCAAAATGTTTAACTAAGCGCTTTTCATTTTACCAAATGCGCTAATTAATATTCGACAAAGGCTAACTTTTGTAACAATCATTATTCATCCATTATATATTATAATTAAACTTTAAATTTCAATTGTTCATTTATTTTAATCTTTCCTTCATTAAATAAAAATTATATTAAAATTTAATTCATTGATATTTATATTCATTTTAATTTAATTTATTATTTCAAAACTCTTTTATTATTATTTTTTTTTATTCTAAATGAATAAAATACTTCAAATAACTACATTTGAAATCATTTATGAAATTAAAAAGTTAAATATAACTTATATTCCTTATTTCAAGCATTATATTTTTATTCATTACAATTATATCTATAAGATTTCTTCGACTAAAGTAAATTTTTCGAATATCTTTTAAAATTTTATTTTATTTTATAATGCATAATTATATTCTAATTAATCTTATGTTTTTTTTTTTGCCAAATTTTTTTTTTTTTTAATTAACTTTAATTTAAAAAAAAAGCCAGAAAACGATCACATAATAATTTTATATTGTTTACAAAAAATTGAATTAAAGTCTTCCGGTTAAAACATTTTTTAGTTTTTTTTCGTTTTAATTTAGATTTTTTTTCATTTAATTTTTCTTTTCTACTAGCACAAATCATTTTTTAAGCATTTTGCTATACTATTGCCAACGATTAACAAATAAAGTTTTTAAGTTTTTCTTTCAATCATTTGTTAGTTAAATTTGATTAATTTTCTTGTTAAATGCATACTTTTCAAATGAATCATTTGCATTTGCTGTAATCGCAAATATTTGCTGATTATTTCTATCTTTTATTTTTAATTCAGTGAATGCAAAATACAATGAATATTTGTTTTTTGTTTTTTTTTTTTTTTTTTGAGTGAAAATTACATTTATTTCATTTATACTTTTTAATCAATTCATTTCATCGTCGGTTCAGTTGAAAATTCCCAAATTTATTACGTTTTTGTCATTCCTGGCTAATAGTTAAGATTTTTTTTGGTTGTTCTCACATTCATTTTTAATAAATTTCAAATTTCTTCTTATTTTTACTTTATTTAACTATTTGTTATTATTATTAATACTATTGCTATCATTATTGTTATTACATCAAATTATTATTGTTATTATTATTATTATTATTATTATTATTATTACTATTATTATTATTATTATTATTATTATTATTATTATTATTATTATTATTATTATTATTATTATTATTATTATTATTATTATTATTATTATTATTATTATTATTATTATTATTATTATTATCATTATTATTATTACCACTTCTATTATTATTATTATTATTATTATTATTATTATTATTATTATTATTATTATTATTATTATTATTATTATTATTATTATTATTATTATTATTATTATTATTATTCTTTACTCTTATTGCCGTATTCTTATTACCATATTCTTATTGCATTAGCAATCTTGTTTTAGTAGCAATCTTATTGTAGCAGCAATCTTATTGTAGCAGTAATCTTATTGTGGTAGCAATCTTATTGTAGTACCAATCTTATTGTAGTAGCAACCTTATTGTATTAGCAATCTTATTGTAGTAGCAATCTTATTACAGCAGCAATCTTATTGTCGTAGCATTCTTATTGCCGTAGCTACCGTACTCTTATCACCGTACTCTTATTACCGCACTCTTATTACCGTATTCTTATTACCACATTCTTTACCTTTTCATTTTTTATCGTAATTATTTTCTTTGACAATTAAAATTTGATTCTCTCAGATTTTTGGATTATTTCTTTTATATTTTCTTTAATTTCTTAAAAAGAATTATAAACTTTCCATTACATTTCTATTTCTTTCTTTTCTAGTATTATCAATTTTATTTCTACTTGTTTTCTATTAATCTATATTCTTTGTAACATAATTAATCATTTAAATTGTTTGTAACATAATTAACTATTTAAATTTAAATTATTAGTTAATGATCATAACATATTCATTTTCATATTTTTTTTTTTAAATAAGTTACTCTTTGCATTAAATTACTTTAATCCCTCAAAATAGAAATTTTTGTTAACATTTCCAATAAATGAATCATTCATCAATCTATGATATTTGGAGAAATAAAATCTCACAAATTAAGAAAAGAAATTTATTATTGATATAAATTTAAAAAAAAAAAAAACGAATAAAGAGATTATCATCTATGATAAATACTGAATTAAAATTGATAATGGTATTTGTTATAAATCATTTTCTGATAAATTACAAATAATCTTTTCAATTTATTTTTTATTATAGCAAAAAAAAAATTATTCAATACTTTTTATTTACAGAAAGCTCTTATTTCTTATAAATAAAATTTTTTCACAAAGAAAGTTATCCTTATTGTTACTGTTGCTGTTATTTGTCGCATTTAATCGTGATAGTTTTAATTAATGAATGAATAAATAAATAAATAAGTTTGCCAAAAATAAATAAATAAATGAATAAATAAGTTTGCCAAAATTTCCTTATAAAACTATTTAATGCTCTCATCATTTCATTTTTACTTTTATCTTTAATTACTTGCTATTCCTTCAAAACTAAAATAAAAATGCTATCAAGTAAGTTTAATAGTAATTATATAAATTATTTGAAAATTATTCGTGGTATGAGTTCACCTGATGTAAACATTTTCTCTTTTTTTTTTTAAATAACTTCAGATTATTCTAGTATTAAAAAAAAAGTATGAGAAATTATTAATTTGATATAATAATTAAACATTTCAAAAAATTTCTTAAATGCCATACTTTCTTTTAAAAAGAAGTATTGTCGAGATAATGCCAAATATAAATAACTCAAAAAAGAATTAAAATTTTAACAATCAGAATATAAATAACTCAAAATAACAATCAGTTAACTTAAAACTTTAACAGTCAGAATATAAATAACTCAAAATAACAATCAGTCAACTTATAGATCAAATCTAAGTTAAGCTATTAGATCAAATCATTTATTATTGTTTAGAAATGATTTAATTTGTCGTTTCTTTTTTTTTTTTTTGTAAATTTAGTTTTTTTTCCTTTTTCTTTCCTATCATATTTTTTATTTTCATTTTTTTTAAACAAGAAAAAAAGACATAAAAATTCAATGAAATACCATACAGAAATTACGTTTAAAAAAAAAAAAAAAAACTGATCATAAAACTTTCAATGGCTTTTACAATTTTAACTTTTTATTTTGTTTTTGTCTTTTTATCTCTTTCTTTTCTGATCGTTTTAATTCTAGAAAAATTTATTCAGAGAAGCGATTTTTTTTTTTTTAAAGTGCAAGTTTCTAAGTTTTTTTTTTTTTGCCCAAAACAATATTTGCAGAAATTAACAGAGATAGCTTTATTGAAAATTGTAAAAATGCGCATCGAACCAAAATCAATACGAATTATTTGTGGAAGAAAAAAAAATGACGTGCGTAATATTTGTTAGTTTTTAATTGAATAAAAAACTAAAATGAATTATTAAGAATTTTGGAAATAAAATTTTGGTTAATATAATTTATAAAAAATATTGATAATTTTTTTATAATTGCCTTTTTTTTTTACGTCACCTAAAATACAAAAATAACTATCAATATTTATGTGAAGATTTAATTTCAGTGCTTACTTAGGTAATTATAATTAGAGAGTAAAAGATAAGGTGGACAAAAAAAAAAGAATTTATTAAAATTTTTTCGTTAATTATTATGCATTAGTTATAATCTGAGTTATTGAATGTTTTTGGTAAAAAAAATAAAGATCATCTCAAAAGAAGAAATTATTTTATCTTAGAAATTATTTATATAATTTTATATATAGAAATTATTTTATATAATTAATTCAGAATTTGTCTTTGTAAAATTTCCAACTAAACAATGCGCGGATGTGATAAATTCGCTGAAAATGTTAGGTAAATCATGAAAATATAATACCAATAGGTCAGTTTGCTAGAAGATAAACTGTTACAATCTAATTAGCAATTAAAGATGAATTAATAACAAATTAACTTCAAAAATTCCATTCGATATCAAAGAATTCTGGTCAGTTTGATGACTTGAAATTGTATATCAGTACATTATCATATGATAATCGATGTTAGGCCTAAGGTAGAAAAGCCAAGTTTTGCAGAGCCTAGCTTAGTTTAGTTTAGCTTAGCTCAGCTAAGTGTCCTCGTAGGATGGTGTATTTCATAGAGGATGATATAGTGTGTCTCAGCGCGACCAAATGCAAATTTGGTCTAAACATGCATCCTGGCATGGGCATCTCGCCAGATTTTTTTTCAGTCTTGGAAGTTGCGATCACCATGGGAACTGAGGTTGGTGAGCTACTGAGCCACGTGCGTACGTGCGTGGTGCGTGAATGTATGGGTGACACGTAGAACGTGGTGCATGGTTGTGTAATGCGTGTAACATGGATGTGCGCGTGAGTGCGTGGTGTATTGAACGTGAATTGCACATGAGGGAGTGTAAGTATGTGATACGTGGAACGTGATGCATAACTGTGTGATAAGTGAATGCGTAAATGCGTGATGTGTTGAATGTGTTTGAAATAGTGTTACATAGAACATGGATATGCTAGTGTTAAGTACAATATGCATGTGTTGATATATGTATCACTGTAATAAAACGTATATGATAGCCAAAACTAGAAATGTAATTAGTTAATAGTAATAGTAAGAGAAATTTGTCTCATTAATTGATTGTTACTGTATGTATTAATTAAATATTCAGTTTCTTTAGTGCATTCTTAACAATTAATCATCGATTAATTTGGTTAATGTTAGTGTTTATTGCACACATAATTATTAGATGTAGTTGTTTCATTAATTACTAATCTGCAGCGATTAATCATATCTTATTTAAATTCTTTTAGTTTATGATTAATTATGAAAAGGTTAGAAATTTTTTTTTTAGTATGTTTATCTTCTCTATGCCTTTCTTATGCTAACGATATATAGTTCATCAAATAACATACAATAATGTAAAATCAATCCATCATCGTATAATTCTCGTGCTATACAGATTGTAGCATATTATGATATGATGTTAGAATGCTGCAAAAGATGGTAAAAGTTTAGAAACGATTATCGGTAATATTAGTCCTAAAAAGAAAGCAAGTACCACAAAACTTTCGTAACTATGAAGTCCAAGAAGATATTATCTTGTCACGTCATACTTTAGTGTGGCATCTAGAGATGGAGGGGAAGAGGTGTTGTTTGACTGTCTGCTTATTCCACTATTTACTTTATTCATTGAGTCATCGTCTATCGATTCTACCCTGAAGCCTGGGTAGGTAGGCGGGTGGGTGGGTGGATGGGCAGTGTTGTCAGATGGCGCGCAAGATGGGAGGGATTGTAGTGGAAATGAGCGTATCACATTATATATGTGTTATATGAAGGGATAGTAGATTGTTGCCAAGAAATTTCACAGCTTGTCTTTTTTTCTCTTTCTCTGCTTTTTTTTTCATGTCTTCCTTTTTTTCCTCTTTTTTTTTCCAACTTGGGCATTTGCCATCTGCGTTCTCGAGATATGTCTTGTCATACTCAAGACTTACACATTTCAATTCTTTTCTCTTTCCTTCATAACAACAGCAATAGCAGTAGTAGTAGTAGTAGCAGTATTGGTGATCGTAGTAGTAGTAATAGTAGTAAGTAATAGCAGTAATAGAGTAGTCGTAGTAGTAGTAGTAGAAGCAGCTGTTATTGATAGGATAGGATGGTTGATGGTTGAGTCTCTCTCTCTCTCTCTCTCTCCTCTTTTTTCTTTCCCTCCGTATTCGAGAGCGTTTTTTGATCATTTCTAACAAATTCATATAATATTTCAAAATCGTTTCTATCCGGCAGATGTCAATATGATTAATAGCGTCTCAAATTTTAATGTTATCCAGTTGATGGATTAATTAGTAAATTTTATGACTGATATATAAGCTATTATCAAATTATTAGGAGGAAATAACTCATTTTCCTAATTGAATAGCAATTAACATAACTTTTTTTTTTTTTTAATCTTCCGCCAATCTGTTGATGAATTTAGATGATTAGCAGAGAGAAATAAATAAATTGCAGCATGCTAAAATTCCAAATTCTAAATATCCAACCTTGATAGTTCATCCTGATATTATGTGGATTGCATATGTACATGCTTGCATTCATTCGTGTTTCTAATTGTAGCCTGCATATGTATGTATGCATGTATGTATGTATGTGTGTGTGTGTGTGTGTGTGTTGTATCTTAGTGTCTGTGTGTGCGTGTATGTGTGTGTATGTCCATCTGTCTGCCTATTTATGTTGTAATGACTGGTTAAATCGATTGAAATTCGTCTGGGTTTCTTTCCTGCTGAAATGTTGTTGGAAAATAGTATCATTTCTCGGGGAAATGTACTGCTAATCCGTTATGGTCTGTAATATGTTTTGATCGATTGATCTACCTGTGTTACAATATCATTGTGTGTTGTTTATATCCCGCATTTGTTATATTATTATTTCTTAGCAAAAGGTATGGTTGACAGATAGAAGGAAAGATTGAAACAATGTTCGTTTTAAATGATACAATTATTATTGAAAAATTTTTCGCCCTTTTTTCTTCTTTTTTTTTTTTTTTTTTGTTTTTTCTTACTTTCTGTTTGCTTTATATTAACGGAGCTGTATGAAATGAAAATCATTCATTCATTCATTCATTCATTCATTCTATACGACTTCAACAAAACTTCATGTCAGCTTTACGATTTTAATATAATGAAGAAATTGAAAATTTCATCATGTTAACTTTATGATTTTAATACATATTGGATAAATTGAAATACGTAGTGTTATATTTTTTCTTTTTTAAGAAAAACTAATTTTCTTTTAAAGTTTCAAAGAATTTGGTAAATATTGTTACTGTTATTGTTATTATTGCTACATTTCAAATTTAACTACTAATATATGTCATACCTTTTTTTTTCTTTTTTTTTTTCAAAATTTGTCTACTTAAATCACTATACTTTTTTTTTTGGTGATATTTAAATGGTTATGCTTTATTTAAATTTATTCTAGCATGTGGAATTCTAGCATGTTTAAGGATATCTATTTGGTATTATTTAATTTAGAATATTTGGAATGTAATATTGTTTATCTTGTATAATAGCTCAAATATTTTAGAATAAGTAATAAATTTTGATTTTCTAGCTAAAGTTTTTTAGGAAAATTGTTCTGGGAGTATAATAATTATAAAATAAATAAATGTCTCGAATATGATATATGTTGATTGAAATGGAATCAAACTATTAATGTGTTTGTTTTATATCTCATAACTGTTTTTTTTTTTTTCATTTAGTATTTAATGAGTGTTACTTTAATTATTAGGCTTTTTTCTTATTATTTGGGAATGGTTTTCTGTAGAGATTGATAATGACTAACTTTATCTTGTGTAATTATCAAAAAAGATCAAATTACTAATGATTTCAAATGTTTTAACTCATTTTACCTAACTAATTTATCTTTGTATTGGTGTTTCGATGATAAAAGACTACAGTCATTAGCAAATTTTGAGAAAGTCTCAGATTATCATCTATTTCTCATGTATATAAGTGTGTGCTAGATTAATCATAAATTAGTTTAACATTTTTTTTTTTTTTTTTTTTGTGTGTTCATAATCTGTTCTTTAATATTTATAGGTTTTTTTTTTTTTTTTTTTTTTGACCAATTTTTTGTTAAACGTAATATACTTTTAACCTTCAAATCATGCCATAAGTGCTTTTTGCAACCTAACCACTATTACAACTTGATTTTTGGTCTCTCTCCGGTTTTTTTCCTTTTTGGCGTATATCCAACTGCTACAGACTGTACGAACTTCTCGCTATTCTGTCATAGTTTGGTCTTTGTATGTGGTGTGTGTGTGTGTGTGTGTGTGCATGTATATATGTTTCTCTTTCATCTTCTCGATTATTTGGTATTTTTGAGGGGAATATAATTTCGTTTCAATCTATCCTCTCTCTCTCTCTCTCTCTCTCTCTGTCTTGCTTTAGTTGATCTTACTCTTTACTCGTATATTTAGCACATTACGTGTTGATAATCGATGAGTAATCAAGATGATGCAGGTGTGTTGGAAGATTTTTAAAGGTAATGATCAAGATGAAAGATATTGTGACGAGAATTATTGAATTTCGTATGTAATAAATATTAAGTTGTTGTTTTCTCCTCCTATTTGCACTTTCTCAATATTCCAGTTCCTGTTGCTCTGCTTGGGATAGGTTTGCATTGGAGAGATAGGATGGGGTAATCACCTGCTAACTGACATTAAATCGTGTTTGTAAACTTGTTAACATGTCGTCAAAGTAATGCGAGAAAGAGAAAATGTTGGCAAAAGGGAAGTGATGTAGATTTCTATTTCTACACAGACATTTGATGAATACACGTTGTTTTATTAAAAGAAGTTACAAATTTATCGAGTGTAGCCACTCTGATGGTGGTGGTATTTTATGTGGTTGTTATGTACATATAATCGATACCGTGTCATTAGTGACATTATCAACATTGTCTGATTTTATAACCTGTTGTGTAGATAGCACGTTTTCAGAAATTTCTGATTCGAATTTTTTTTTTTTTGATTTTGAGAGATCACTGAAAATAGCAGCATATATTTATATGTCAAGCTGCAAGCACTTATTATACGATAACACAACCAGCTATTTTATCATGATTGATTTTCGCTCTGCGTTTTTTTTTTTTTTTCCGGTTAGCGCAAGTTAGCTGTTTGATTACAGGTCTTGTACAAAACTGTATTATATCTGCGTTGCGCGTTGTATTTCTACTGTTTTCAATTGTTGTCTATTTTCCGTACCGTACGATATCCAGAATAGGATAGCATTATGGCAATGGCTGAGCAACAATGGTCAAATCACTATCCAAGTTCGTGGAGTAGCATGCGATCAGGTTAGTTTTTTGGTAAATTTCAATATTTGATGAGTTTTCTTTTGTTTCGTAGTTTTTTTTTTTTTTTTTTTTTTTTTTGGGATTTGTTCATATTAAGAGTGCAACTGGCGGACATACTTAGTTTAAGCCCATTACACTATGATGCTATAATTTCTAGGGAAAACTTAGTGTGATGTATTGCTATTGCATTTTTTGCAGAGCATGCTGTTAGCAATCCGATTATGGTGCAAGGTAATACTAATGTTGGTATTGCTGGATCTATAAGATCTCGAGAGAATTCACTTTGCACACAGATGATCGCTAATGTATTGGGCTCATCCACGGGAAGTTTGAATGCTGATACAAAATTCGTGAGTTATTTATAGCTCAAAATTTGAAAGTGTTGTTTTCGTTAAATTTATTTCAACAAATTTTTCTATGAATGGGTACCGGAGTGTTTGCCTTCGCGTATAAAATTCGCTTATCTG